ACATATATATATAGCAATTATCGTACAAAACTCAAAAAGTGTATCTTTATATTATAACTATGAAAGAATTCAGGAGAGGATTGAGTACATCTATGGGTAACACAGGAAAACTTTTAATCTTAACAGAAAACACAGACTTGCTGCATGTCCTAAACTGTGTGCATTATTAACAGAGGTTCATATTATGAAGATGGTGTAGGGTTTAAAGAACTGCGGCGGCTCCCATTGCTGACCTCCTTCTGAAAATGCTACTTGACTAGTTGCCTCTGGCTTCAGTACTTGTCATTGACCTGGAACATGCCTTGGCAACCAAAGTCACAGCAAAGTCAGAATTTTAAATCTTGAGTGCATACTTGTTCTGAGTCATTGAAATATATGGAAGCCATTAGATCTGCATGATTGCCAGGGGACAATTACTATTTTCAGAAGAAGACATCAGCAATGGCATAGCACTGGAATTTTTCTATGAACATTAAACAGCCATATAACCCATGTAACTAGTAACATGTTTGAAATCTGTCTGTGCTTCGGTTGTCCAGCAATCAGCACTGGAAACCGCTGGCCATTTATCAGCAACATTCATGATGTTGCTCAGCCCTCCTTATGCTGGGTGACACCTTGGGTTGCATGGTGCCACTGGTAAATAGCCAGCAGTTTCCAGTGCTGATTACAGGACAACCGGAACCTGAACAGATGACAAACAAGCTCTGCATTTATCAAGGCACATGTATTATATGGATGCCTAAAGTTCATAGAGTAATTCTAGGGTACAGTTCCACTTTAAGGTCATTAGTATTATTTGCTGGAAGGTTACAGGGAACAGTTTTAATTTTAACAATACAATACAAGGTAAATAATAGCATACGCACCTGCACTTCGGTTGAAGAGAATCCGACAATATTTGAAGAGCTGTAGAGGTATCTTTTTCTGCAAAGTACCTAAAATAGAATATTAGAAAAATTTACCAATTTAATCATTATGCATGCCAAAGAATTTGAAACACAGCATCCTGCTAGGTTATGAGATAATACACATTAGCTCATTGTCCTCCAAGTGCCAATAGCAGAGAAGAAAAAACTCATAATATAAAAATATATAACAATTTACACTGCCAGACAATGTGAAACCTTTCACTATTTCTTATTGTACTATTATCATTATATGTACCACACCAGACTTTCGTTATTAGGGCACAGCAGGCATTTTCTATTATCCAGTAATATCATGAGGCTCTCTGCCCTAAACACCTTAAAGTGACAGTAAACTTTGGAGTTAACACATTCAAGTACCTTAACTATTAACAAAAATGTATCTTATTTTTGTATGACTCGGCTGTAGATCCTCAAACCGCTCCAAGCTCACTCCCATGATGGACTACAATCTCACATTTAATTTACTAACTTGTATTGAGATTGTAGTCCATCATTGGAGTGAGCTTGGTGCGGTGACTACTTGACAACAAACACAGGGACCATGGGGAACAAAAGTAGCCACCCCCCAGAAGGAAGGACAGTGTCAGCACCAATTCAGAGATGATTTGAGGATTTACAGCCAAGTGATACACAAAAAAGATACATTGTTGTTAATAGTTCAGGTACTTAATTGTATTTCTAAAATGTAACTCCTGAGTTTAGTGTCACTTTAACTGCACCACCCAGAACAATGCCATAGTTTCTGACCTGTTCAGTAGAGGGTGCTTCCCCCCAGTGGGTATGAGTTCAGGTTCAGACCGAATCTGATCTGAACCTGAGCACCCCTGAACCTGGCAGGATCCAGTAAGCATTCTGCCACACTCCTTATTGAGCACCCCTTTGTAGATGGGTGATGAAGTAACTACGTATGGCGCTGCACACACCAGAAGAACAAGTCACTAGCACACCGTAGAAATGTGTCTAAAGTGACGCACATTGTCACAGATAATGCATTGTTTCGGAGCTCTGCAGGTTCCCCTTCATCAGAGTCAGTATGTCATACTGAGCCTGATGAAGGGAACCATGCGTGGCCCTGAAGCACTGCCTAATCTGTGACAATGTGCGTCAATAAAGTTGTTCTTTAGACAGATTTCTACGGTGTGCTGGTGACATCTTATTCTTCTGAGCCTGGCAGGGGCTCCTCCAGGAACACAGAAGGAAGCTCCTTCTATGCCTCCTGACCGGGAATACTTTGACATAAGCAAAGGGCCGGGGTGCAGTGATGTCATTGACCTTATATGGCTACATGGCTATATTACATAAATTACACTTTGCATAATGTGCGTTAAAATGCAACAGTGTACATGGGCCCAAAAACATCAGTACGCGCAATGCTGCAGTGCTAGGACACTTTTAATTTATTCTCTAAGCAATGGCAAAAAAAAAAGAAAAAGAGCAGTAACCGGCAGCAACCAAATTCAACTAGTTGATGTCATAACAGTGAATGATGCGTTTAATACTGAATAAAACAATACAGATAAGAGGATAACTGGTGTTCTAGTTTCTACACATAATGCAAAGCTAGCTATGAGTTGTACATATACTTACACCAAATTGTAAAGTCCCAAGAGGCCCATTCCTCTAAAATCTGTTTTTGGGTCATCTCCTTGGAAACCGATTTCACACCACTGCTTAGAGACCCGAGCATCCAGCGGAACGCCCGGTTTCAGCATTTTCCACAGCTGTAAATGACAGATGAATCATATCACAAGTTGTTGCTATGCGTCTTATTCCGAACTTATACATTAAATAAAACATTTATTCCAATGCAATTCACTGCCTTCAAAGGGAATAATAAAGCAGCTGATGATTAAAATGTATCTTAACCCAAGAACAAAAGTTTAATATACTGCAGATTACAAGTCCTAAGATGCGGTGGCTGCATTTGTTTTCTTTTTTTAGGCTTTTTTCCTTTTGCCATTTTCAGCTGGTCATCTAGTGTTACAAGGCTTACTTATTGAACTGTATCACTGGAGGAGGAGAGGAATTGTGCCAGTAGCCTGTTTTTCTCTATGGGAGTACGCGGCCATTCGCCGCCATACGCTCACCCGAACTGCACATCTGTGCGGGTGTGGGTGTCCGTGCTCGTAAGCAGACAGGATGGATCTTATCTGCGTCCAAACACGGACACCCACACGGATGTGTAGTTCAGGTGAGCATACGGCGGCGTCCTCCCATAGAAAAGAACAGGCTGCTGTGTGCAATCAAAGAAAAAAGAAAAGGCTGGTTGCACTCTTTACCGGTATGACCCAGTGATCGGGGAGGGGTGCTTGGAAGGACTGTAGATGGCACCGCCAAATACAGAAAATTGCAGAAACGTCACCAGCACACCAAATCCTTATAGGATCAAAATTCGTAGATTTATTGCAAACTCATGTCAGTTACACAAGCGCTTTCGGGGCCACACAGGGTCCCTTCATCAGGCATTGTGTGGTCCCGAAAGTGCTTGTGTAACTGACATGAGTTTGCAATAAATCTACGAATTTTGATCCTATAAGGATTTGGTGTGCTGGTGACGTTTCTGCAATTTGCTGCGTGCCATCACACGCAGCAACTGTCCTTCCCGGGAGCTGCCCAAAACGCCCGTGCACAGGGATCTGTAAGGGCCGGCTCTTAGTAGTGTGAATGAGGCCTAACAGGGAGCAAATGACAGACGTTCATTGTCAGGGTTTACATACACTTCTAAGCTGAACTACGGGCACAAAAACTCTCTTTTATATATATCCTTTAGAGCCACAAAGGATATAAATCAGGGGTAGGCAAACTTCAGCCCCACATCTGTAATAAAACTACAAATGCCATCATGCATCTGGCACCGGAGGCCAGGCCTGTGGATGTCAAAGTCTTGCAATGCCTAATGGGATTTGTAGTTTGAACACACCTGGAGGGCCAAAGTTTGCCTACTATGGTATTAATCCACTTTGTGTCTTTGTAAACCCTGATAATGCAGTGACAAAGTCTGTGCAGAGAGAAGAGCTGTGGGAGGGACTCAACAGGCCACACCCACTACAGGCTGCCTACAGAGAACTATAGAAGGGGGCGGATACAAGACCAGTCACCGTGCACAAAGAGAGGGAGCAGCAGTGACTGGTCTTTTTTTTTACAGGAAACTCCTACACAAAGGATTACGTTTTACACTGTATTAATGCACAGATCTGGAATGAATACCGAAAACACACCAAGACTCAAGTAAGAACACACATGCCTTTTGTATTTAGATAATATCTGCTTATCCTGGAGAGAAGCTTTATGAAAATCTATCAGGTATTACTAGAGACAGAAGAATGAGTATAAATGAGTAACAAGGTAAATTCAGGTAATATACTGTGTATTCCTAAAGAAAAAAACATGTATTTGGCCTCGTGCAGCAGGGTGGACAGTTCTGCAGCACTGTGTGCAGTGACCACATTGCCTCATTCCATCTATTTGCTTCTCATCTAGAATTTATACATGAAATAAAATATTTCTTCCAATGCAATTCACGGCCATTAAAAGGAATAACAAAAAGCAGCTAATGATTAGGTAAATCCATCACTTGTTATAAAAGACAGAAGAATGACAGCTCCCACAGGAGAATACATGAGACAGAAAGGCAAAGTCAGGTAACACACTGTATACTTCAAAATAACAAAGATGTATTTGAAAAAAGTTAACTCAATGAAGCATCTAAAATTGTCACTGAACATAATCTCGGGATATATTAAACAAGAACTCTTAACCCTTGCAGTGCAAGGGTTAAATGCTTGTTTTTGTCTAGGGTCATAAATAACAAAGTTATACTCACCCTATACTCCAAGGCAGCGGGCTGTGACAGCGCTCCCTACTGCCCGTCTCCTCCCCCGGTGCAGTGATGTCCCTCGGTGTCCTCACATCCTATACACTGTGAGGGGAATTTATCAAAACTGGAGGAGACAAAATCTGGAGCAGCTGTGCATGGCAGCCAATCAGCTTCTCTCTTTCATGTTCAAATCTTAACTGAACAAACTGAAGAGAGAAGCTGATTGGTTGCCATAGGCAACTGCTCCAGATTTTGTCTGTTTCAGTTGTGATACATTCCCCCACGTGTATAGAATGTGATGATTAAGGGATGTTAGCCCACTACAGCGGACAGGGAGCAAGGCAGAAGGAATCGACTTAAGAGGCAGCAGTACTCGGAGGATTGGGCGATTTTTGATGATCACTTAACCCTTGCAGTGCGGGGGCAGCCTCACTGCAGGGGTTAATAAAATATTTACCCGGCATTTTCTTTAATGATAAAATACAACACAATCTATAACAAAGTGACTCTTTGGGGCAGCCATGTACCTCTAGCTTCTACTGTACATAGAAATGTCTGAATTTGTGTTCCTGTCGTGCGTCTGTCATGTTGTGGCTGCGCAAGTCTTGCTCCGATGGATAATACAAGCTTTCAATGATCGGTTTGGTCTCTGTATAGCCGTGTTGTCAGTCAGCACAATGTAGCTGGTAAACACAAACACTACGGGATCTAGTTATAAATGTTTCAATATTTCAACACAAAATCCAATTGGAGAAATATGTGAAAGTTAGGTGAAAACTGTGTGAAAAAAATGAATAAATGCCTAAGGACCTAATTGGAAGGCTAGACGGTGGCAACTAGAATTCAGTTCCATAGCAAAATCTACACAGAATGAAATATTCTTCCACCTCCATGTTCCTCTTACCTTCATGAGCATTTCTTCATGCTGCGGATTCTCAGAATCATAGGCCTCCCTGCGCAGCTTCTCCACCTCCACGGTTAAATTTCTGAACCCCACAATCTGGAGGAGACAAGCTTGAAGGGACACTGCCAACCTACACAGAAAAATGAAAAATAATGTTATATTTACATTTTGAGGAAAAATCTGTGCGGGTCACCTATTTGTCACCTTATGTCCCAAATCCAACAAGGCCAAATCAAATACCTTTTCCTGTGCCTGCTTACTTTTTACTAATGTTCTGGACTGAAATGATAAACTTGTGGCTTAGACTATTTCTTTATCGTTCATTGAGGGACCAAGGATTCAGTTACTCTAATAGGATAGGGTTATACTGCCGCCTACAGGAGGACAACAAACAAGTTGTTGACCAGCCAGGAAAATGCTGGATCCACTGTGGGAACAGTCCACATCTTCTAACGGGCATTGACCAGAAAAGCTTTTGGGAAAAGTAGATTATTTGTCAGTAGTAGTAGTCAATTCTCCATACAGAAAAGGTTGAAGTACGGAGTGTACTGAAAAAGTTTTGTTGGGTCTTTTTGGGATCCCAGATTGGTAACAGTACCAGTAGCAGCTACAGGCTTTTCCATTTTAAATGTGACTTGCACAGCATCCATAATAACCGATATGGTATCTTTTAGTTTGCAAGCTATTTCAGATGACTGAGGCTCCTCCGGAACATACTCAGAAACAACACCAGAACCAGAAATATGGTTGTGGCAGGATTCTTGTCTGGGCAGAATGCCACATTCCGCATTACCACTTTGTCTGCTGTTCACATTCCAGGTATGTACAATTGGCAGGCAGACTCCCTCATCTGACAGCACCTGGACCCGGGTTATTGGTCCCTTCACCCGGAGGTGTTTTCAGGTGAGGGTGAGTGACGCTAGATGTGGACCTTCTGCTCTCCAGATTTAACAACAGACTGGACAGGTTTGTTTTTAGGTGCTGCAGAACTGCTCTGGAGACACCATGGTGTAAGTGCAGCCTAATCTAAGCCTTTCCTCTTCTGAATCTTCTCCTAGTCTACTCTGCAGTATTGAGATGGAGGGCATGCCAGTGCTACTCATTGCTCTGCACAGGGCCAATTAAATGTGGTACACTGATCTGATCAAACTTCTGGCAGACTCCCCATAGGACCAGATCTCCTATCTATGGGACTGGTTTACCACTATGCTTCACAGTTGCTGGCTTTAATGGCATGGGCTGTGTCCTTCAAAGACCACCTTTTGAGCCTATTAAAGAATTCCCATTTTCTCTCTCTCTCTCTTACTTGTTGCCATCACCTCTGCAAGATGTGTGCCTGAGCTGGTGGCTTTATCCTGTTTCCTTCGTGAGATGGTTTCGACCTTTCACCTCAACCAGCACATTGTTCTTTCATCTCTCTGTTTGGCCCTGCTACATGAGAAGATTTCCCTTAATTGCCTGGGTGTAGTTATTCTGTACAGGTTTACCTCTTAACCAATGGTTCCATTAGAAAGGCTGACATTCTTTTCGTCATTCCTGATTGTCCCTGTAAGGGCCAATTTACATCAGCCGCTGCACTAAAACGCACAGCATCTGCTGACTTGGCTGACCAATTGGCTTTTTTCTGTGCCAGTGTCCAAATCCTTCTGTAGGCTGCAGTATAACCTAATGGAAGCAGAATAACTGAATCCTGTGTTCCTTAATGAACTACAAGAAACAGTCCTTACTGTCAGTACAAAAAAATCTTTTTATTTGTGCAATAAACATAACATTAAAGCAAATTCCACATTAACCTTAGGCTCCCAGTTTTACTGAGATGGTCCTTGATAACCATTGTGGTCCATGAATCAATTGGTTGTGTTGCTTTGTATAACTCGTACTTTTCTCTCCAATGAGATCCCATTTATTGAAGTGCTCTCATTGGACAAGGAGATTGTAGGCATTTCTAAAGTTCATCACTCACAAAAGGACATGTACATCACTCACAGAAGGACATATACCACCAATGACCACACTTGGAAAAACACTCTCCTAAATATCTTTTTAACTAGTTCTTATAGAAAAGTTTCAAACAAAAAACATTGTCTACTGAAGGAAAGTTTAACACAGCAGTGAATAACGCCTTACTGGGGATTGGTGTCCACGTTGACCTTTTTCAGGGTCAGGATGTCTTCTACGGTCTTCTCGATAGCATCAGGGTGCACGGCAATAGCACTCTGCAAAAGCTAAAACAGGAACAAAGGACAATGTGCCATCTGTTGTCACCCCTGAAGACCAAGCATGGAGTAAATGTGACCGCAGGAGAGACCTGCACAATACACTGACAGGAACCACTGACAATATTCTATACATAGCTTTTAGTTACATACTTATTACATACAAGGTGTTTTACCATAAAGATACAGAGGAATATTATTTCAGTGTGTATGACAAAACAATGAAGGTATTACCTATAATAATTAGACCCCAGCTGTTCTAAAAAGTCAGCTTTAAAACATGAGCTGACTGGTTGATATGGCGAAGATAGGCTTTTCCTTTACACCAATTCTATAGAATGCTGTGTAATTGACTTCACACTTGTTTTTAAGAGTAACAGAGGCTGAAGGTCGGATGTTTTGCCCCTGTCAGGTCTCCTGCTTTGCCAGACATAGTTGTACTGGGCAACCAAGCCTTGCAAATCTTAAAGTGATATTAAAGCCTCCTTTTTAAAAAAATATTTCCTACAAGGAGACCCACCTTTGATTGAGGCTGTTGCCGTTTTAAAAAAAATGTTTAATTCCTCGTTTTCTAGTGGGCCCCCGCAGCAATCTTCCCCCCGCCCAATGCACGGGTGCCTCCGTCAGCTAATGGAGGCACCCGTTGTGCTCGCGTCCATAGACACACACAGCCCTGTGGCAGACCATGCCCCTCCTCTCCGCCCAACAGTTTAAATGATGGCTCCTTTGCAATCAGTATCCGCCCCGCATAACCAGGAAATTCGGGGAACGAAGGATCGCTTTGGGACCGGCGGGGACGCGTAGCTAACAGGTAAGTGTAGGGGGGACGAAGGGGGACAAGAGGAGAAAAAAAGGTACTGGCCCGTTTTTACCCTAATGCAGAGAATGCATTAAGGTAAAAAATGCCCAGACCTTAATACTGCTTTAAGCTTGGATGGACAGGAATAGAACTCTCTTGGCAGGTAAAACAGCTCACATATACAGTATATATTTCATCTGTGTATTTAACTGTTTGCCTGATGTCCGGCTTTAAGCAAGGAGGAGCCTGACAGTAATGAGCGGCAGTTAAAAGTGCCTTTCCTGTCTAATTAAGTGTCAAAAGGCCAGGATGCATTTCACTATGACGCTAGAGTAATAATTCCTCATTTCACAGCATTAATATTACTTAAGAATGAAAGCTGCCACAGGGAGAACCGACTCTACTACTGAGCTACAGCTTAACCAGCGGCAATCGATTTTTTTAGAACCATTGCTCTGGTTTCTTTAAGCCATTTCACAATGTCACTAGAGGTAATCAGCTCTGCAGTGCTGGAAGGGCATTAGAGAAACTAATCTGCAAAGCTTACCCCATTGTCTTACACAGTGATGGTTTTAGAAAGCAGCTTGCCTGTTACCATGCGGCCTATTGTAAAGTGAAACAAAACCTCGTTTGGGCTTTTATGCCTTAATAGCTGGGATGAAAATGAGGGCTGTGCATTGCATGTATGTGATCGTAGGCAGGAATACACACTAATGTAGTACATTATCCTCTCAATTCATTGTATTTTTATTGAAGACCCTAACATTTGCTGGGGTGTTCTTACAACATGTGTGCAAACTAGCTATGCACCTAGCTTACCACCAGGGCCATCCCTACTGTATATGCTGAGTCATGCTGTAGAGCAAAGGGGGTGGGAGGGGGCTTTGGGTTGCTGCTGAGAGTGCTTTTAGAGAAGGTGGGGGCGGCAGATGTGCTAGGACGGGCGATTGTTTTAGAGCCGTGCCTGTCAGTGGCTCTCTGTCCGATCCCACCCAGCTCATGGACGTCACTGGTTGCGAGGAGCTTAGCGGGACGCCAGCCAGAGCATCCCACTCAGCTCCCTGGTTGGGGCAGGAAGCTGGACATAGCATCACAGGTTGCTAAGAGCTCTTAGCAACCTGGGACGCTGTGGCCACCCTTCTACTGAGATGCCACCTAGGGCGACCAACTCAGGGAAATAGTAAAGAAATTGTAATACAGAAAAACTGCATTCACTGTTTCCCTTAAAGCTCATTAACACCAGAGCAGTTCAGTGCGGTGCATTTAATCCTAGGATGGACACATTAATATGGAATTCAGGAGCCAGTCTGTTCAATCCAGGAGCCATCAGGATATTTTTTAGGAGCCAGCTCCATTAACAACAACTAGAGCAAACATGTTAGGCACCAGCTGTCATTTTTAGGGAGCATTGGCTACCTGGCTCCTGGGATTTGTCTAGCCCTGGTGTATTGCATTATTGTGCACTCTGCTAAGTTGGATTATTCATTTGGGCTATCTAATGCACCACAATGCACCAAGAATGGCTACTGCAGCATTTTTGCTGGCACAGCACAGCGCACCGTAGGGCATCATCAAGTGTCGCAGTACACAACAACAGAGTTTCATTGGGCTGTTTTTCACAATGATTGTCACTGAAGCCCATCAACGCATGTAAAGAAGAGCAGTGTTGTGAATGAGCCTATAGACCTCATCCCCAACATAAAATTCCTCATTACAAAGCATGTTAACACACAGTAGCTGTGCATTTCTCTGTACATTGGGCTAACAAAGTCAAGCAGGACCTGATTTTACATATGTTGAGATGCGCTGGCAGCCCTTTAAAAAAAAATGAATGAGCAGCATACTCCATTATGGTGTGAGCAGGGGGGGCAAACTCCAGCCCTCAAGCTGTAGTGAAACTACAAATCCTATGATGCATCTGTCTTTGGAAGTCATGCCTGTGGCTGTGAGAATCTTGCAATGCCTCATGGGATTTGTAGTTTCACAACAGCTGCAGGGCTGGAGTTTGCCCACTCCATTGACTTAGAGGGTCAATCCAGTCAGACTGAATGCCTCATTGGCTTACGATTTCATTCTGTGACTCCAGTAGAGAAATCCCTGCTGTAGCTATTATGAAGAGAGTGCAGCAGGAAAAGATTACCAATTATATTTTTCTATTTTAAAGTTCTGTTTCAACATTCTGAAATGCATCTAGTCATCTTGTTACTCAGCACTGCAGCCCAGGTCTATGCAGCACACACATACTGGACACACTACTGGACTTTAAACAGGTTAGCCTGTCTGCCAGTTCTGGATTACTCCTGCAAATTGTTTTGGGCTGCATATGTACTCAGCCTGTCTGTGCTCATCAGCCTGTTATCTTTACTACAGTTAGCCATTGCTCTCTCTACCTGTCTGGAACGTGGCCTCCTTGGACACTGTTTGTTTGCACCTGATCTGACCATCATTCTGCTGACTCTGCTACTGTTTGCACTGTCTCAGGATATACTGTACAGGGGCGCCCACTATTTTTCGTCTGGAGATCTACTTTTCAAATGACGAGCTCATTGAGATCTACCAACGAAAAAACACCTGCATTCAGGGGCGGGAGGGGGCGTGGCAGTGCATTGAAGTCAATTTTATTTTCATTATTTTTATTTTTTTGTATTTTCGTAATTTTTTTTTTTTTTAAACTCTTGGGGTGGCTTCGGGGAAATATTAGGGGGTCTAAAAAGCCCCCTGATATTTCCCTTTTAAAATAGAAAAAGAAATTGAGGACACAAAGTCCTCAATCTTTTTTTCTGCAGCCTCTATTCTAAATGAATGGAAAGCACAGAGGCTTCCCATTCATTCAGAAATTTTTTACTATCAAGCAGTTTCTGAATGGGGAGGAGCCTCTGTACAGAGTGCTTCTCCCCATTGAGAAACTCATGAATGAACGGGACGTGATGTAAATCACATCCTGTTCATTCATTTATAACTGGGGACACATAGTACTATGTGTCCCCAGTTATTTACAAACACTGGAGTGATCAGCCGATCGCTCCAGTGTTTGTCCTGCACAGAGGATTGGTACATACTACAGACATGTACCGATCCTCTGCCGCTCGGCCACGCACAAATGGGCTCAGCTTCTCCTCTGCATCCCCCCTGCTCTCCCGGGCAGAGGCCAGTGGCAGCGGGGGAAAAGTGAAAGAGCACTTCAGCCGCGGGTGGGGGGTCGGAGCCGTTGTGACAGAACGGAGCAGTGAGGGGAGAGAGAGGCGCCGGCTGTCAGATCCTGGCCGAGCGTCTCTCTCTCTCTCTCTCTCCTCACCACTCTGCATTAGTTCTGTGACAGCGGCTCCGTCCTCCGCCCTCCCCCGCCGCCGGTTCCTTCACTTCTTCTCGGAACTCTAGCTTCTGTCCTGCCTGGCAGCCACTTAACTCTGTGACACAGAAGGAATGGGTATGACATAGCATATCATAGCAGTATGGTGGACATTTTAGCTTAGGTGGTGTATTCTAGTGAAAGAATGAGACAAAAAGTCCCATGTTTCCCATATCTAAAAGTACATGGTTTTTATAGGATCACTACTGGTCAAACATGGTATTGGGGGAGTGTGTGGGAGGTAACTGTAAGCCCCTTTCTACTAGTAGCTGTGCCCTGAATGAAACAGGTTAGCTTTAAGTGCTCCCTCAGACATATTAAAGACATAGTCCACCATTTTAAAAAATGTAATAAATGCACCCACATTAATAAAATAAAAATGTGCATTTATTACATTTTTGCATTGAAGCCTACAAAGCATTGCAACTGGATCAGTGCATTGTGAGTGCAATGCACAGGCTCTTGCATTGTTTACATCCCAGCCCCAGGTCTGTATGGAGGTACAAACTTTCTGTTATGGGTATGGACGAAGTAAGAAATGGATTACAAGTCCGGTGGAATCGCCACACTTGAAGTCCATTGTGATATGGAATTCCCTCTGCTGAAGTGGCATATGGGACTTGAAGTCTTTCCATTGACAGGGATCTGTGAATAGATGAGAAAGCTGTACGGGCAAAGCCACACATAGCCCAGATATATGGGTGTAACATGAAACATGGTGGGAAAGGTTAACCATACCTTTTAAACACCACTGAGAATAGAACAGGTCTAACTATAGTCTTTATGATAGAGGCTGAAGCATCCGATGGCCTTACAATACCTTTCTCAGATGGGCCTATTATATAAATAAATCCTACTGTTATTATGCAGTCACGGAATTAGTAAATGTAATTTTGTTTGGTTCAATGCTGAGATAACAGTATATGGAAGGATTGGCACTCTGTAGGCTGAGTTTCATTGCTCACGAAGCAAGGATTCATTTTGCTGGCTGCCTCATCCTCTGCTGATGACTAGAAGGAATCGCAAGGAGCCCGTCATCTCACTCTGTAGCTGCACTCTTGATAAATATGCAAGCTGACACACAGATACAGACTTCACATTCTGCCAGAGAGCAATAACTGAACTAGATGATAACGATAGCTATAGAGAAGAAGACGTACCTTGCTTTTAGAGGATTTCAGTGATGTTTCTACAAAACAAAATGTGTAAATTGGTCAATACTCTCTGATACATCAATGAAGTATTTCCATATACTGTATGTTAAAATAAAATGGAACTAAGGGAGAAATCAAAAATGACTCACATGATGCAGTCTGTCAATAGCATCAAAACAACGTGTTTTGTTTTCCTCCTGTAACATAGTTTTAATACCTGTTGATTCTTCTCGTAGATTGGTTATTTTTCTCTTCCATTACCAGAATGACAACACTGTTCTTTCTTATTAAAACAGCGTTTTCACACTGTGGCAGGGTAGTCTTAAAGAAACATGTAATTTTAAGCACTTTAAAGCCGTAGTAAACCACCAACATAGACATGGCAATAGTGGTTCCCCAAGAGGTGTTTCCCATAATGTACTAGCATATTAGCACATTATGGGTCACTTATCTTACAGGTGATACAATGTCAGCGCTCTCTTCCTCCGCCGGTGCTGCCATCTTTACTTGGTCTTCTCCTGGGTTTAACATCTTCGACCTCTTGATTGGCCGGGTTGGGATGATATAACTCCTGCCCATGTACATGGGAGTTCCTTCATTTCGACACAGGACCTTGCCGAGCTTGTGAACTGAGCTCAGTGCCCACAAACGCTAACAGGTAGTAAAGGAGCATTTATGACAGAAGACATATACAGGGTCTCTTCTGTCATTAGAACCCTACCTGTCAGCGATTTTTTTACCTCAATTAAAAGGCAAAAACGGCAGAATAAATTCCAAATTTAACGGGATGCCTCAAGGATGCACCCTGCGATTCCGCTAGGTAGAGGGGGGCCAGCTTGAGGAATCTGAGGCCCAGTTCCAGCCAACACTCTTTAAGCAGTTACAACAAAACGTTTAGGGCTCAGTCACACGATTTTGGCCAGAACGCACTGCCTCGCATTGCGTTAGGCTCACTTTTTAGTGGGGTAGGAGGGGGCTTGGCGGGCTATTCAAGTGAATGGTGCCGTAGCCACGCCCTCCGGCCGCTATGCGATCCGGCGCACGGGATCGCAAGGCACATTGTGCCTGCGGTGCGATAAAAATGCTACAAGCACTATTTTGATTGCACTGCAGAACGAGGCAGTGCGTTCCGGCCAAAATCGGGCCGGAACGCACTGCATCTAGTGTGACTGAGCCCTTAAACCATATAAAGCTGACTGCTGTAAGCACTCCCTTTAGTTTTAAATGGTTTACTTCAACCCCTGTAACTGTCACATTTTCTGAACAGCTTGGTCTGTTACAGTTAATGGGAAAAGAACAAGTCAACTGGCAGGATTAACAGGTATAAAGCTATGCTATAAGGCAGGGCTCAAAATTTCAAGTCCTGTGCTACTAGCCAGGCCTTAAGGGCCTGTTCACATGATATCAGGTCCTGATCAGGTGCGGATCTGCAGACTGATGTAGTGCGTTTTTGCCACATTTTGGCAGCGTTTTTGATGCGCTCCGGACCTGACAAAATGTGACATGCAGTATTTTTTCTATCGTAGGCTGAACGGACTGCGCACGTGAGAACTGGAACCCATAAAACACATAGGGATACATTGGGATGCATTTTGAGTGCAGCAACGTACGGAGCCGGTCAGCACACAAAACGGACGGTTAGGTGCCCCACCTAACCCTTACCCGGCCTTAACTCCGCCCCTAAACACACCCTCCTAAATAATCTTATGATAGTTGCCGCTTGTAAACGGCAGATTAGGGAATCCTGCTGCAGGAAAACGCAAGTTCCTGACGCAGGAATCCCTAATCACACCTGAAATATACTGTAGGTGTGAATGGGGCCTAATATACACATACACTAAAGGTGCCCATACACCTGCCGATTATTGTACGATAATCGCGGGTGATCCCGCGATCATACGATAATCGGCAGGTGTATGGGCAGCGTGCGACCTCTTCTACTGTAAGGTCGTACGATTTTCGTCTTCCAAGCACGCTGGAAAACCTGCCGAAAATCGAACGATTTTTGGCGGGTTGGTGGCGTGGTCGATAGACGAATGCCGCACGGGCCGGTGTGCGCAAGTCCACACTGCCCGCTCAGCACTGCAATCCTCAGAAGCCCTCCCCACTTGCAATGATCACAAGTACGATCTGTCCAAGATGGGCAGAGCGTACGAAATTTTAATGACCTTACAACCATCACACAATGAAAGTCGTGCGATGGTTGTAAGGTGTATGGGCAGCTTAAAACACAATAATACAAAGGACTGCAGCAGATCTCACTAATCACCCCCAGATAACCAGGGATCGATCCTCCTGAAATACATTCTTTCTTTCGGCCGGAGCTCAGAACTGTCAGAGCTCCGGCCGAATGAAGCCGGGGCTGACAGGAGCTGCTCTGCGGTCTGCATCCGACACAGATGCAGACCGTGGAGCTGCTCCCGCAAGTCAGGTACACGGTCTGCGACCGTGTGCCTGACATGTCAGCTGGCTGCGGGCCACATAGTATCGGCTCGCGGGCAGCAGTTGGACCACGGACCGGTACTTGGAGACCCAAATTTCCACTCTCCCTCACTTTATTTTTACTCGCCAAATGCGAGCAGGCGAGTGGAAATTTTGAGCCCTGCTATAAGGGACTCATAACTGCTGTATTAATGCTATTAACAGACAGCATCATAAATGTAATTTTTTTTATTTTGTGCAACTTTCAAGTAGAACTTAGGTAAGAGCTGTTACATTCTGCGCCCAAGCGTACCTAACTTTAATGTCCGGCCAGCACCCGGCTTGTTCTTGTAGCAGATTCTCTGCAATTCGCAGCGGCCAGTCAGATTCCTCACGATAAACTTGAAGCAACGCCACAGACAAATGCAGTAGAAGTACAGCCACACCTGAACCACCATCCTGCAGATAAATGGAAAAAACATGTTACATTCCAGCTTCAAAATATAGAAATTACATGTACACTTGTTGATTTCTAAGAACTCTGGTCTAAATAAATTGTGCAGTTAAAGTGAAAGTTTTATAGAGTGACGGGGCGTAAAGGAAAAATGAAGTTGTCAGGCCCACTTTCACACGGGTGGTCCTATTGGGTTGTCAGGTTTTCAAACTGACCTGATCGGATGCCCAATGCAAGTTACCCCCGACTTCGACCAGGTCCGGAAAAACAGATGGATCCGAGATCCGTTTTACCGGACCTGATCGTGCTGGATTGTGGGTAATCTGATTGTAAATGGACACATGTATGTTTACATCCGATTCCCCATAGACTTACATGGTGTCTGGTTATTTAGATTTTTTACTGTATGGCAAGATGGAGGAAAAAAACTGGATTGACAAAGATGACACAGCAGCGATCTGTACTGCTCAAACAAGAGGGGATGCGCTCACAGATCTCCTCCTGATCAGCCATATAAAAGGGGCCTTAAAGTGACTCTATTGCTTACATACAAAAATTCAGGCAAATTGGCCTTGTAAAGAAAGAAGGGTTCCAGTAGGCAGTGGCTGAATTCTTAGGTCTGTTGCAGAGATAAAGGCACTGCTGCTATCCAACACATCTGAGTGTATTGGACAGTGTGTTCCCCTTTGGGCATTTGTGGTTCCCCTGGACAAGTGCTACATCACTACTGTACATGGTGACGTAGAGGGCAGAAGAAGCAACCACAGTGCCTAGCAGAGGGTTGGCAATCCAAAACATCTGGAAGGATCAGTAAGCTTAAGCACCTGGGGCTCTGCAAGAGAGTGACGAATTAAGTCACTGCTGGCCAGAGAGGAAAGTATAACCCTTCTTCCTTTACAGAACTGTTGCCCAAGCTGTGCCCTTTGGTACCTATTGTGTGACCCTTAAGGGGTTTTGGTGCTCACTAAAGGAAAAATATTCCTTAGACTGGCTTCTAGTTTGTTTGTTTTTCTTTCACACATCTTGTTTTTTTTACTCTGCTGCATCACTTTACTCTTTTTATGTTTTCTTTCTTCTGATCTTTTATAATGGAGCTTCATAAAATAAATATCAAATGTGACTCAAAAATTTTAAAGGGCTGTAGGGAGCTCAAATGTGGAATCACTGATTTGTAATGGTACTGTAATCAGAAGTTATCTCTACCAGTCTCATGTAACATGTCTTTAGTATATGACTGTCTCCTAAAACGTGTACAGTTTCCAATAACCTTTAGGCCTCATTCACACTAGGCGTACACACAAAACATATTGCTTTCTGTTAAAAAAAAACACTTGTGGTAGGTGGTCCCAATTTTTCTTTCAATTTGTGAACAAAATTTAAATGAGTAACTCTGTATGATTCTGTTTTTGGAGAGGAATCAGCAAAAACAGCAACTTATTTAAAGCATCTAGTTTAGAGGAAATTTAATCTGCAAACTAGCAGCCCAGAAACTGGGAATAAATTACTAAATAATTACATATGGCGATCCAGATATCTCTATTAAAATGCTATAAAAAATGTGCTTAGACCAGCGTTCTTTAAATGCAGAATCTGTATTGCAAAAATAAAAGATGGAAATTATAATATTCCAAGAAGTGTTAGGCTAGTGAATTCCAGAGAAGAAGAAAAGACAGAAATTAGTAGATAGACAGATAGACAGAGGAGTGATATATCTTGTATTACACATAAGGGCCTTTGAGATTTCTCTGTGCCAAAAAGGAGTTGGAGCTGTGAAGAATCCAGACGTGTTTGTTTCAAATGCAATTAATCCTTATTAATAAAAAGCCGTCAGCAGAACGGAATGAGCGAGATTCTACAGCATACCTCCTGTGTGAGCATGGTATGCATCAGTGCTGTTCACTTATAGAGTAGCCTATTCTAGGGGACGTTTATGAAACCTGCATTGCCTGAACAATTTCTGTGCTTTCCAAAAATCTACACAATACTGGCAAGGTAATTGTGTATATAGGTATATGAAATAAGGTATTTCATATAAATGGTTTGCACTCTAGGAAGCCATACGTATTTTGGAAAAACAAAAAGACAAAAATAACATTTTGGAATAAGGGCCCGTCCATACCAAAATCAGAGGGAAATTGCAAGTCAGAGCAGGGTCCGTTGACTTGCAGTCTCAACCTCTGTTGACTTCTGTTACGTTTTTTTTCCCTTTACATTTTTCCTCTGTTTTGCCAATCTTTATTTTAATTAACATGTCTTGAGTGGACAAACATCTGTTTTTTTTTTTTTTACTTCCATTGCGTTGCGATTACATCCATTTTTGTTTGATTAGGTTCTACTATTTTTTAGAGGAACGTAACATAACTGAACAAAAACGGATGTAATCGCAACGGAACTGAAGGTCCGTTTCATTCCAAGCTCTACTTTTTTTTCAGCGCAACGTGATGTAACTGAACAAAAACTGATATCATCGCAACATATACATAGACTACATAGGATACATATGCTCAGGACATGTTGACTACAATAAAGATTGGCAAAAGAGAGAACATTTTTTTTAAAAACAATGCAATGGAAAAAAACGGAAGTCAACAGAGTTTGAAATTGCAAGTCAACTGATCTTCCATTGACTTGCAATTTCATTCTGATTTTGGTGTGAATTGGCCCTAAGGGACTGCACAATTTGTATTAAAGTGTATCTAATCCAAGCTTTTCTTTTTGTTTTAGCTAGACTAGGGAAGGGTGATACCCCTGTCAAGTTCTTTGTTGCTGTCTGTGTCCCCAAAGTGAATGGAATGGAATGTGAGATAGTTGTCACATGAAAAGGTGTACCCAATGGAGGATTTTCACCTGTTGCTCCACTGACAACTCTAAAAAGTTCCCCTTACTTTGGTGATCAGGACAAATAGAGAGAGTGAATCCCCTCAGTTCGGACACATACAGCAATAAAAGCTTGATGATAGGCTAAGTCTTCCCAACACTATCCAAAACTGATTTAGCATTTACATACACTTCATCAACCGCAAGTCTTTGATATGCTAACACATGCTGGTACAAATTTAGGCTTTCTCAACTAGGGTGTCTCAGCAGCCTGGGGTGCCTTGTTGCTTTGTCTGAAATGCCTTCTGGCTTTGACAGGGGTGCCTTTAAATTTCACAGTTTATAATGCAGTTTCATAGTGCAGGCGAATGCCATGGAACAGAATAATGCTAATCCATGGCAGGCTGCATTCAGGACAGCCCCCAGCAATCAGAAGAAGAAGACAGAAGTCCGCCTCCATCCAGACCTGCTTTCACCTTTTGCAATGCCGCCTCAGTCACACTGTGGTGATGATTGGAGGTGAAGGAAAGACTCTTATGTGAAAGGGGAGCTCCTGATACGAAGGGAGGAAGGATTCTGATGTGAAGAGGGAAACACTACATTGATTTTTGCATGCACCCCGCCCCCCCCCCCCCCGCAATACATACCAGACCATTTATGATAAGCTTCTGGTACAGATTTTGGGGGGAGCCACCTGTCCTTTTTTACATTTACATGTTTTTCCTGGGGTGCCTTGAGATTTTGCATACTTTGAAAGGGTAACTGAAAAAAGGTTGAGAAACACAGTGAGAAGGAAGGACTCTGATCTTTTCCATCAGGAGCAGAGGAAGTTCCAGAGGCAAATGAAAACTCCCCTACTCACATATATACAAAATGTAAATAATGGTTTTATGTGGGCTGACTCTTTAGCCACTTGAGTCCCAGTTTTAGCAGTTAGTTGTCCAAAAGCTGTTTTAAAACCCAACTGAAGATGGCTCTTCGGTCTGGTCATGTGGCATCATTGGTCTGGAATGGTAAGTCTGCTGGGCTCAACACTGGAAAAGAGTATTGTAGCAAAAGATGCTCTTTTCTTTGTTTAAAACTGCAAGTGGCATTGGGACAGCACCTAGTCTTAATGGCTACGACGGATATCAGTGGGGTTTAATTATGAAGCTCCTAGATGCCAGTAAAGATTGCAATTAAGCACTTAGCCCAGGAGCTGTACTAGTTGGCTTAATTCTAAACCCTCTGCCACTAACAACACTATTTTCTTAATGCAATGATAGTACACTGACAACCTGCAGTGGACATTGGCAATTAACAAATGAACTGCCTGTGAATGTAAATTACTGTCTATGAGTTTAGTTCAATAAGTGGGAGCAGACTTCAATGTCCTTTGATTGTGACAAATTAAGGTATTAAGCACAGCTGAAAGGACACGTACAAGACCCGTTCAGTCAAAAAATGGCTGCTCTCGTGCAATGCTAAATGTAAATTTTGCCTGCTGACATGAGTCTGCCTGCCTATGCAAAAGGGTAGGAGGCACAGTGAAGAATGGGATGGTATGCAAGGTAGAACTGTATAGTGTGCCAAAACTCAAGGAACTCAAAATGGCACAGACTCTTTTTACCAAATGTTTGCAGATATTAGTTCTGGGCAAATTACGTAAAATCATGGTTTCCATTAATCGGTCCACTCATTTCTATTCATCGGACACAGAGTCTTGCGTAATGTGTAAAAGAAAAAGGCACATCCTTTTATGAAACAGGATTAACATATTTGTTTTGTCCATGTAATCCTTCCAGTCAGTAAACTGGCAGCAATGCAAAATCTGCTTTCTGAAAGAACAGCACTTTAAAGTGACCTATTTGCTATTTCAGCCTACCACAGCACACGTGGCCTTCCACACTTAAAATGCCTCTGGTATGCTTTTGTCCTTTAACATTTCAGAAGACTAAGTGTATTAAAACCATCCGGCTTCCAGATGTCATCACAGATCACAGCCAGCTTCAATTAATAATGGATCATCCTACACCGTGTAGCAATGAAGAAGTGTCAACCAGCAAAATACAAGAACTATGTCATGAAGTTATAATGCTGGTACAAAAGCCGCTGGAGATCACCAACTACACAGCTAAGCTAGCCATATTGTGAGATTAAAGTGACACTAAACTCAGGGGTAAAAGGTTAAAAATGCTTTCAACTACCT